TACCCCAGTCAGAGAATTTATTTACCTGACACATTTTTAATGTGCAATTTGGACAAGAGTCCTCAGGGTACCCTTTCACTGGAGCTTTCAAGAATGACTTTCAAGCATATATGTTTAACCTCCTCCCGGTCTGCCTTCTAAGGAAATGACGGGCGCAAGGCGGTTCTCTCGTTCTGGGGGGACGTCATGACGTCCTCCCACTCTAACTGGGGGCACGCAGCTCGGCAATCGCTGGTGCGCTGTCTTTCGGGCACAGCGGATCACTGATCAACGGAAGGAGCCGAACACATCGGCTCAATCATGTGATTAGCTGCATCCAATCACAGCCGATCGCTTGTAAATAAGGAAATGCTGGTAATCCGCATTTCTCTCCTCACGAGCTGTCAGCCGACAGCTCGAGAGGAGAACTGGTAATCGCATTCCTTGGAGTGGACATGAGCACTGATGATCAGTGTAGCCCCAGCAGTGCCACCTGTCAGTGTCCAATGCCAGCTGTCAGTGCTCATCAATGCCACATCAGTGGCCATCTGAGATGCCAGTCAGTGCATGAGTGCCGCCTTTCAGTGCCCATCAGTGATGTCTGTCAATGCCCATCACACTGCAGCCTCATTGGTGCACATCAGTGAAGGAGAAAAATCACTTACACACACACACACACACACTTTTGTATATACAATTTTGTGTGTGTGTGTGTGTGTTTTGGTTTGTTTAGCAGAAAATAAAAAAACCCAGAGGTGATTAAATACCACCAAAAGAAAGCGGTCTCAAAAAATGCCATGAGTACGATGTTGCATGACCGCGCAATTGTCATTCAAAGTGTGACAGAGCTGAAAATTGGCCTGGGCAGGAAGGGGATATGTGGACAAGTGGTTAAAGAATAAGTTCACCATTTGGAACATGTTCCAGCAGCTACAGACTCTCCCCACTCCATGTGATAGTTGGTTGGGGATTTGAAACTAGCTGGGCTCTGCCCATACGACTGCATCATTTTATTCAGTTTCCCCCTGTGCATTAATGCCTAAAAGTACTATCCAGCCTTTGCGGATAGTATTGCAGGTGCAATGTCAGGCTCACCAGAGCCCTCGCAGTATAATCTTCTGATCGCAGGTGCAATGATTTACAGGCTCCCTAGAAACCAAGAAAAATTGTTTGGTTTTTTTTTTAAATCTTTTAGACAAGAGCCTGGTGAAGCAAGCCATAGATGAATGATTTTCTTTCCTTCCTGTATTGTGTCCCAGAAGTGATGGTTTGGTTCCCATAGAGCCCTGATCTCAATAAGGAGTCTGTTTGGAACAACCTACCTGCTGTGTTCACATAACACTTCGTGTATTCCCAAACATCTTGGATAACTAACCACAGATCTTCAGTGGATGTAGGCTGCATCAAATCTCTCTCTCCATTAATCCCAGACAGTTTTTAGAGCAGGGCTCTGTGGGGGCCAAACATCACTTTCAGGACTCCTTGTTCTTTAAGCTGAAGATCTTAATGACATCTGGCTGTTTTGGGGTCATTGTCTTGCCAATCACACACCTCCCTAACGCATGAAGTATCTGCCTGTTTTTTTTTTTTTTTTTTTTCTCAGCATTGAGGACCATAGATGCAATGGCTGGCTAAGGAGACTTAATGCAGCGGAAGATGAGCACCAAGATTTTTTTGATGGTCTAATTTGTAGGGTGTGAACAGTTGAGGCTGTGGTTTGAACTCTTATTTTTGGGGTGATTTTTCATCCAATATAATCTGTACTAGCTAATATTTGAAAAATATATGTAGGTACAGTGAAAACTGAAATTTGCTGTGCATATGCAAAAAATAGCAGTAAGCTGTTCTATGGTTAGACACTTTTTTAACTTTCTGCTCGAATTGCTAGAGACTTATTTGTTGTCCAAGTACTTGGAAATTATAGTGATACATTCCCCCCCCCCCCCTTTCTTTCCATAGTAAAGAAAACCTGTGCAGTGGCAGATTTTGTGTGCAACAATGGCCAGTGTATTCCAGAACTATGGCAGTGTGATGGAGACCCAGACTGTGAGGATGGATCTGATGAGACCTCAGAACTTTGCCGTAAGTGATCTAGTGTTCTAAGGCATGATGCTTGCTGGGAAAAATTAGGAAACTTGGTGGACACCTTTTTTTCTACTGCTTTTGATGCCTTCCCATCAACTTACAAAGAATGGTGCCTTTTTTAATGCGCTTGTGGAAAAACTGCAATGCACAGAACTTTTCAAAAAAATTTAAGCTCACCAGTGTGAAGGTGGCTTTGGCTTCTTTGATAGCAGAATATTTATTTAGGTGATCTTTTGACCTGTGTACCTTTTTTGAAAGGAGGTGTTTGGGTTTTTTTTTTTTTTTTTTTTTCCCCACCCCTCCCCCCCCCAAAAAAAATATACATAAAATATCTCAAACTCAGTCGTAATTTAGGCCAAAATATATTCTGCTACACGTCTTTGGGGGAAAAAAAAATCTCAATATGGGTGTATTAACTGGTTTTTGTGCAAGGTATAGTCTATAAACTATGGTGTATGTACTGGAATATACGCAGGTTTTACTTTTGACTGCCTATCATTTCTTGAGGTGCTAAAATGACAAGGCAGTACAAAGACCCTCCAAATGACCCCTTGGAATGTAGACACCCCAAGGATTTTGAGGCATGTTGAGTCCATGGAATATATTTTATTTTTGCTTTTTACAGGGCGCAAGTCTCCCCTCCTGCAATTCCCAGACATTTCTGTTCCACTGGGAGCCTATGACCACTGAAAGTGGTTGGGTTGGCTGCCTAGAGGATGGGAGGAACATCTGTTCCCTGACCTGATGAAGCTGGAAACTACTAGGATTTGTCATTGGTTTCAGTTCTGTTTCTCCCTGTGTGGTTTAATTAGTTGGGCAGCTGGTGAAACAGGTTTTTGTTTTGTTTATCCGCTGCCTTGGAGGCCAGAGGACAGGTTTGGGGGGGGGGGGGGGGGTCTAATCACCTTATCACAAGTGGGGGGTGATATTTGATCTAAAATTGAAGAAAAAAACTTAGTGTAGTTATGTTTCTGGGGTGGTATGGGTTATTTGGCTAAATGGCTTTCAATTTGACTTCTATGCAGACCTGAAAACCTGCAGGGAAACTGAAACAAGTTGTGGACCACGTTCAACGCAATGCATACCCCTTTTTTGGCTGTGTGATGGTGAATATGACTGTGACAGTGAAGAGGATGAAGAGAACTGCCGTAAGTGCTTGCTGGTTTTGTTTTTTGTTTTTTTTTTTTTTGTTTTGTTTTTTGTTTGTTTTTTTTTTTTTTTCTCTGACACCAAGGGAAAAATGGTGACAGGGGAGGTACCTCCAGCAGATTGGCAGCCTCAGTGCTGTTACTGTGAGCTGTGTGGAGGGGGCGGTCTCTTCCCTCCAATCGGCTCTGAGCTCTCCTCATTGAGCTTCCAGTGCATAACTTCAGCTCTGTTTTCTGAACTTAGGCAAGCTTTATAAAATTCAGCGTTTTGAATGGCTGAAGAGAAGACTGCAGCTAGATGGGTGCATCTTGTGTAAGGAGGATTTTTTTTTTTTCCTCTTTATTACCTGAGGCCAGTCACTTCATTGGGTATATGAAGGTTTACAACCACTTTAACTTTTCATTTAGTCTAGGTTACTATTCATACAAGCATCATAGGGCTGCATAGCTAATAGAGGTAGTCTTGTGTTTGTTTTTTTTTTATTTTTTTTAACTGCCTGCAAATGAGCTTTTTATCTGGGTATCATTTATTTAGCTGTCTGCATAGCCAGCAGGGTCAGAGCATGGCAGTGAAGTGGAAAATTATTTTGCTGACATGGCTTTAAAAATATTCTTAACTCCTCAGCTGACTTGGCAACAATATCAAATGTAGCTGGGGGATGGAGACCAGCTGGGGTTAACATTTGGACATTCTGCAACATTTAAACTCCTCGAATTTTGGGTGTGTGGGGTTTTTTTTTTTTTTTTTTTTTTTGGTCATCAGTCCTTAGAGGAAGGAACTGCTTGAAAGGTAAATGCCTTTTCATCAACCTTTTTTTGAATAGGCACTCATTAACATGTATGATAGACCAACTTTTTTTTTTTTTTTTTTTTTTTTTTTTTTTTTTTTTTCCCTAGCTTTGGCTAGAACAGGGATGATTTAAATTGTCTAGTATGTGTTCTGCTATCCAGCGCTCCATTGGTGGTTCCCCTGACTTCCTGTGTGTGTTCTCCCCTGTCTGTGCCCCTTTCTTTAGGTGAGTTTTTTTGGGGAGGTTTTGTTTGGTTTTTGATTCCCCCCCCCCCCCCCCCCTCTCTACCAGTTCTAGCTTTCCCACGAATCTGCTGAATAAAAACAGTAGCTACTCTCCATTACCCTTGCATCTTACTGGCAGTGACAGGAAGTTAGAGTAAATCTCTCCAATGGAGCCCCAGATAGTAATAATCTGCAAGGGGCTCTCACCTTTCCCATTTCTATCCCAAGAGCTAAATTTGTGCTGTACGTTAATGACAAATCCATGTGATTTGTCACTAAATATATTCGCTTGGCAAAATATGTTGAGAGAAAGTGACCTTTTGCGTTGCAAGATCTCAAAACTATATTGGGCAATGCCCTGCAGTATGGTTCTCAACCTTCTTTACAGCTCTGTCTATTCTTACTTACAGAGAATGTGACCTGTAGTCCCCGCTGAGTTCACTTGCTCCAATGGTCGCTGTATTTCCATTAACTTTTACTGTAATGGTCACAAAGATTGCAGTGATGGAAGTGATGAAGTAAACTGCACCCCTCCGACATGTGGAGCTCATGAGTTTCAGTGCAAGAACTCTTCGTGCATACCACTGAACTGGGTATGTGATGATGATGCAGATTGTGCCGACCACTCGGATGAGTCTTTGGAACAGTGTGGTCGCCAACCAGTTATTCCCCAGAAGTGTTCCCCCAGTGAGATTCCTTGTGGCTCTGGAGAATGCATTCACAAGAAGTGGCGGTGTGATGGCGATGCAGACTGCAAAGATAAGAGTGATGAAATGAACTGCCGTAAGCCGATTTTTATCTTTTTCTTCAGTATAGCATTGGTGTAAAGTAACTGAGGCTTTTTCTAACCATATATCAGATGATCTGCACACAAATGCATTTTTTTTTTTTTTTTCCTTCAGCACTGTGCCGAAATTTGTAGTCTGATCTGCTGACAGCCTACATATTTACTGCTACTCAGGGACTTTGCCATTCAGCATAATGGCAGCCTTCAGAAAGAAATGGACAGTGCTGAGGCAATTTACTGCACACACTTAATTTTGGTAGCATGATTATTAATGTGGAATGTATGTTCCTTGTTAAAGAACATTTAATTTTTTATCATTGTTATGGGCAAAGTTCCACTTTTAAAAGGGTCATATATTAGACCATAACGTGGAAAAAAAATCCTTCGCTCTCCTACATTAAGATGGCTTCATTAAAAAAAACAAAACTAAACAATACTCATGCGCTAAACAATATGGGTAGTGAAGTGCTGCCTAATTACAAATAAAAATATAAATGGTGTCCTCTAATACAATTACATCATTCAAATTCCATAATAGTGCAAAATCGTGCGGTCTCTAAAAAAAAAAAAAAAAAAAAAAAAAAAGTTTGTGCTGTATTCTTCTTAAATGGTGCTTATAAATGCACTGTGCTCCCCACTGGTGTCCAACCCCTCCCCCCCCCCCCCCCCCCCCCTTCCCACACACTCACTGACTAGAGTGGACTCTTAGGTTTAAATAAGTCTAATACGCTTTGGTGGGAGAATCCCAGTGTTGGGTCTTGTATTTCTCGTGGATGGGTTCCTTATTTGCAGAGATGGTCAAATGTAGATACTCATAGAAAGTGAAGAAAGGGGCCATATAGTGTAATTCCAGTAAAGTAAATACATTGCACTCTCATATTTTAAAATCTGTGTCAAGCATATAACTTATGAAACCGGAAATGGTGCACCAGTGTGCGCGCTCCGACCAGAAGCGATGTCACCACAGCTCTTGTCATCTGACACATTTTGCCCCACCTACTGGGTGTCCTCAGAGGCTCGAGCCCATGGGTCACAGTGACCATAGTTGAGCTATCCTAAAACTTCTCCTACTCCCTTCACTGTGTATCCTGTACCTGAAAGTGAACCCTCCTTGGCCATCTTATAATTAGCGAGTGTACTTGCTAATCTAAAACAAATTCCTTTTTATACTGTCATTACAAAAAAGCCACATCAGACCATAAACCCAATGTTGAACGTGTAGTATATTTATATTGGACATGGCATATTGAATTTACATATAGATTTAGGTTACTGATGTACTAGACAAGCGCAAATCACTCAGTTGCGCCCTCTAGTGACTTTGCACTAATATGGACTTTGGCGTAATTGTATTTATTATACAGTATTTATAAAGCGCCAACAGTTCACTCAGCGCTGTACATTACAAATGGATGACACGATTTATATATTTCTGTGAGGGACACTACATTTTTGTAGTAGCAGCAGCCTTTTATTCCTGATTTATTCAAAATAGATTTTTTTTTTTTTTTTTGTTTTGGAATTCATTTTACTTCAGATTCAAGTTATGATCGCTCACAGAATTACACATTGAGGCTTATTTTATTTATATATATATATATTTACTTTTCTTGCGCTGACACAAATGAATGATAAGCTGCGGCAAGCACCTAAATGTGCTCCCACATCCCAAGAGTGCTGCCCGTGGGCCAGATGTGGCGCTTGGCTTGCTTTTATCCAGCCCATGGGGCATTGTTCCCACTGACACCACCGACAATGGGGCACTGTTGCTTGCACTGACCACCAGCCTAGGGTATTTACTCCCACTGGCCACAATCCGGCCCCCCCCCCCCCTAAAGTTTGAACAGCAGTAAACTGGCTTTTTTCACAGAGCTATTTGTTTACACATTGGGTTTGATCAGCCGTCTCCAAATTTTTGAAATGGCAGAGCGCCTAAATCCAAATATGTAAAACCTATATCCAAAAATAAAAAACTAGCAAACACCCTGAGCTGATGAATAGTGTAAAAACACCTAACTAAACTGAAGCATAAAGTGTGAAAACCAACAAAAACTTGTAAAATAAGCTGAGCCTCCGCAGCTATACTAAATATACAAAAATAAATGTTGAATAATGGCAATAATGACGTGCACAATGCAGTCCAAAAGTGATTTGTCTGTCTTCCAACATTTAAAGTAATGCACCAGTAACTTCAACAGGTGTGCAAATCAATCCTGATCCTCCACCTTCAGGCATATATGCTCACCTTTTTAATAGCTGACCCCCCTAGAAGATATAGATCAACATGCGCTCAATATTAATCCCACCAGATCCTCTGCTTCCACAGGTCTTTTCAGGAACAGTCTTTTACATCCTCACTCCGATGGATAGGTGCTCAAAAGATGAACTCCTCGGTGCATATGTCGCGTGACTTCTTCAGGGATTCCTTGTTTACTGCTTCATTGTTTTATTTTTGATGTGTTTCACGTATAGCTTGCATTTAGTGGCTTAGCCAATTTTTTCTCACTTACTATTGACTTCATTTCACATGTATTCATTTACACATTGGGTTTGATGCTCAGGAGGGTTTGTTTTTTTTTCAGTCTCTAGGGGGCAGCGAAGTACTATTTTTGGGGTAAATTTTAATTAATTAATCTAGTCATGAAGGTATTCTGCTTCTGCAGTACTGTTCAGAAAACCCATAATACTCCCAGCTCTGTCAGGTACACCTTCCATTGTTATAGCTAGATTATTTTAAAAAACTATACAGCTAGAATTTCTGCACTACATACAAGTGCAATGCTACACTTTTTAAAAAAAAAAAAAAAAAACATAAACGTTGTTTGGGTTTGACCTGCATACAATTTTGACCTTTTTGTTCATAGAAATGGAAAGGTTAATTTTGTCCTATCGCAGTCAAGACAAAAATCAATGTGCACTTGCTATTTGATGCAAAAAAAATGTACACCAGTCACCCAATGATATGACCTGTAAACCTGCAGTATTACATAATGGTGTGTTGTGTGTTTTTTTTTTTTTTTTTTTTTTTTTTTTTTTTTCTCCACAGCATCCCGTACATGTCAGCCTGACCAATTCAAATGTGAAGATGGGAACTGTATACATGGCACTCGACAATGTGATGGTGTAAGAGACTGCCTTGATGGCACTGATGAAATCCGCTGCAAAAATGGTGGGTACATGATAAAGTGGCTTTATTTCTGGTGTTCTGTCTATGCAGAAAAAATGCCTATCTGATGGCTCTTCCTCATTTCCCCTATACTGGCTGACTTCAGTCATTCAGTGTTCAGGACCTGGCAAATTCAAGTGCAGATCTGGTGAGTGCATCAGTTTAAACAAGGTTTGCAACCAGGAGATTGATTGCAAAGATGGCAGCGATGAACCTGCAAAGGATTGTGGTAAGTAGCTTGTATTTTAGTCAGGCTATTCCAATTTAACTGTGACCCAGATATAACACTGATCCCTATGCAGCATTGTTTAGCCCCCACTGCAGTCCTTTCTGAAACAATTTTCTATAGATTTTTGGATAAAGTCACTGAACCCCTGGTGAGATTTTGGACAGCATTCTTTGGATGTGGGTGCCATAGGTGCATCTCTGAACCAATACTTTCACATACCTATCCTGTGGTTCTCATTTTATACTTCTTGTCTTTTTGACATTTTATAGTTATGGCGGGGAACATGGTAGAGCAACAGTTTAGTGGTTTAATTTGGTCTTGCTGTTAAATCCTCTTAGAGGGGAAATGGGTTCTCAAAGGTCTTGCCCCTTCATACATACAAATATATATTTTTTTTTTTTTTAAATAGGTGTAGATGAATGTTTGATCAATAATGGAGGTTGCTCACACTACTGCCGAAATCTGGTTATTGGCTATGAATGTGAATGTCCAGCTGGCTTTGAACTGATTGACAGAAAGATATGTGGTGGTAAGTGTGACGTTTTTGTATATAGTCGTATGGGTTTTTGGGTGTATTTTGGTGTTTAAAAAAAAAAAAAAAAAAAAAATTTCCTAGAAAATGCCTATTCCAAAACCAAAGTAGGTGTGCATGGAAGGTATTTGCTTTGTTACAACATGGTTGCCTTGGAGCCTGTGTCAATGAGCTTGGTTTGAGATGCTTAAATTTTATTGACGGGTGCTTTTTGACTTGCAATAAACCTTATTTGACCTGTTTCAAGCTGGCTTTACATTCCCTTGACTTGTATCAGAAAACAAACTTGTCTTAATGTGAACAAAAAACCCCATCACTACAGGCCCATGCTAAGCAGACTTTTTGTTTCCTTCAAGAACGTTTTACATTCCCTTGCAAGTCTATGGAAAATCTGCTTGAAGCAAGTCAGGCAGTCAACTAATTGGATTCACTTCCATGCTGAAGCCTCCAACTGATGCCATTGACACAGGCCCTAAAGCTTTGCTTTTTTTTTTTTTTTTTTTTTGGTGTATAGATATGGACTAGTTTATTATTGGCACAATTTTTTGTTATTCATTCCATTCTGGCCACCTGAAAATGGGCAACTTTATTGGAACACATCGGCTACTGATGCACATCTTGCAATGCAAATGTTCTTCTTGTTTGTAGATATTAATGAGTGCCAAAATCCAGGAATCTGCAGTCAAATATGTGTCAATCTGAAGGGAGGCTATAAGTGCGAATGCAGCAAAGGGTACCAGATGGACCTATATACTGGAGTGTGCAAGGCAATAGGTAAGGTTTGAAGTCTTGTGATTACATCAAAACAGATTTGCTGTGCTTTCCGTTTAAGCTAGTCACCAGATTCTATATAGTGGCTTGCTTATTGGAACTTGCAGCATATTCTTCCTGTGATTACGATTGCCATTGTGAATGTTAGGTTCACACTACTTGCAGCTCAGTGAACCCTTAGAAATGTGCTAAAATGTGCGATGATCATCATGGAAATCAGAATTTCCTAAAGAAACCAGACTGTTTCATTCTTGCATGAACTGTAGGCAGATTAGTCTGTCTAAAATCCGCAATGATTCTGTAACTTGTACAGTCACTTTGGGGGGGGCGGACTTCCCTTCCACCAAAAGATTGCAAGCTCTACCAAAGGAGAGCTTACAAGAAAAATGCCACAATACTACTCTACTCTGCTTGTATAAGTCTATGAATGGGGTATGCCAAAACGATTGACCTGCCCCTGGCCTTGTTTTGACTTTAAAGGGGTACTAAAAGCAAAATTGATGTGGATAGCTGTAAAGCCACCAGAGATTCCCACAGCTGCCCAGAAGTGACTCACCCCCCCCCCCTTCCCAATCCCCACAGGTTCCCAACCTTTCCTTCTCTTTGGGGCCACAGTCTGTTAGCTAAGCACAGGGAGATTCAGAGGTATTCATTTTCTGATCCCTACAGCTAGCGAGGGTTTTTTTTTTTTTTTTTGTTTTTTTTTTTTTTAGCTCTTGGTCTAGAACTTTGGTTAACAGGTTATGAGCAGATTAGAGAATTTGTACAGCTTCGTATTTATGCATAGTCCATACATAGCATTTCCTGTGGAAATGGAAAATCTTAGTAGTAGCCATTGCTGCAGTGATCTTTGCTGTCGTCCTGGGGATAAGTTCATTATGGGCACCATTCAGAACACTTTGCAATTCTCTCAATGAATGTAAGGCCATGAGCTGGCAACCCCGTGTGGTGACTAAGCAGCAGAGCAGCCACTTGGCACAGGATCTGGAAAACTTCAAGAATCACTGTTGTAGTGGTGGACACTGTTCTCCCCTACCAAGGGGATCAGCCAGATATGGAATTATCTTACTTGCACTGGTTCAAGCAGGGCAAATGTAGCCATGCAAAAACTATACCTGGAGCTCAGCTTTAACAATGCTGGTTTTTATTCTGTATGTAGAATAGTGAAAATTGACTGAAATGTTGTTTGAATAGATTTTTATATTCTCTCCTGTTACAGGTAGGGAACCAAGTCTCATATTTACAAACCGCAGAGATATCCGGAAGGTTGGACTTGAAAGAAAGGAATATATTCAGTTGGTGGAGCAGTTGCGAAATACAGTGGCCCTGGATGCTGATATTCAAGGACAAAATCTGTTCTGGGCTGACATAAATCAAAAGGCAATATTTCGGTATGGCTATTCAGTCTAAATAGTAGCTTCAAGTAAACTTAAAATCTGCTTGTCAGATACAATATGTTCTCCATACGCTTTCCATACATTGTACTGTACAGTTAATGTTTTCCCCAGAAAGAACAATGGTCAACTTGTGGAGTGCATTGACCACTTTTTACACAAAGGCTTTAAAGTATTCACTGTTGTCTAATATTAAACCTAGATGTATTTCACCCCAACACAATTAGAGGTTGAATCACTTGTATGTATTACTCCAGTTTTCAGACTGCAGTTTCTAGTTAGTAGTAATATGTAAGTAAAACCGTTCAAACTAGCCATTTTACAACTTAAAGTAGATGTACACTTCAGCTGGATATCCTTTTTAGTTTTCCTTTACCCCATAACGTCACAGTAACACATGTGGCATCCAGGAAGTAGGCTTTAAACATGGGCGCTGCATATGTGTTTGTACTGCGAATTCGCTCCTAGCAGAGGGACCATGCTCCTCGCCAATTATCGGGACCCAGGACTCCCGATTTTTGCCGGTTACCTGATTACTGATGTTAGCCTCTGATTGGCCATCACAGTAGTCAGTCAGCCTGTCCCAGTTTTTTTTTTTTTTTTTTTTTTTTTTTTTTTTTTTTTCAGTATGTTTTTTAGATAGGCAAAAAATATGTAGCTGTAGTAGGGCACAAAAACAATGGTGCTCAAACAGCAAATAACCTACAGATGTGGTTGTGCAATCCTCCAGAAACTTATTTTTGGTGGTTCTTTGACATGTTAGGTCAGTGGTGGTGAATTTATGGCATGCGTGCTGCAGCCCTTTCAGCATGCAAGCCAAGTTGCCCCAGCAGCATCAGATAACCGCGCACATGGGCTCCAAAGTGCATGCTTGGAAAGGAGTATGGCCAGGTGATGACCTCACGAGCCACGACTCTTCCGAGCTTTCACACCGTCGGTTAGTGTGCTGCCAAGGATACACGCGTCCATATATATATTTGGACATGGGCACAATTTGTGGTGGTTTTTTTTTTTTTTTTTTTTTTTTCAAATATCTACCAAAACATATTCAAGCTATAGTTATATAATGGCTTAAAGTGCGCACTCAGGTTTAATTTGAGGGTATGTACATCCAAATTGGAGGAAGGGTTTAAGAATTACAGCTCTTAAAAGTAGCCATACCCCTCCCCCAAGGGACCAAAAGTAATTGGACAATTAAAATAATCAAAATGTTGATTTGTAATATTTTGAGAATCCTTTACTGGCAATGACTGCCTGAAGTCTGGGACCCATGGACATTACCAAAGACTGTTTCCTCCTTTCTGATGCTTTGCCAGGCTCTAACTGCAGCTGTCTTCAGTTGTTTGTGGGTTTTTCTGCCTTTTAGTGTTGCCTTCAGCAAGTGAAATGCATGCTCATTTGGGTTGAGATCAGGTGATTGACTTGGCCATTGCAGAATATTCCACTTTTCCTTCAAAAGCTCCTGGGTTGCTTTTGCAGTGTTTTGGATCATTGTCCAATCTGTACTGTGAAGTGCTGTCCAATCAACTTTGCTGAATCTGGGCTGACCGTATATCTGTAAACACTGCAGAATTCATCCGGCGGCTTCTGTCACATCAAACACCAATGACCCAGTGCCACTGGAAGCCATGTATGCCCATGCCATCGCACTGCCTTCACCATGTTTTACAGATGACGTGTGCTTTGGATCATGCGCTGTTCCAATCTTGGTTTCATCCATCCAAAGAATGCTTTTCCAGAACTGGTCGGGATTTTTTAGATGTTTTTGGCAAAGTCTAATCTGGCTCTTCTATTCGGGCTTATGAATGGTTTGCACCTTGTGGTGAACCCTCTGTATTTGCTCTTGTGAAGTCTTCTTCTCTTGATTTTACACTTTGACAATGATACGCCCACCCTCCTGGAGAGTGCCCTTCACTTGTCTGGATGTTCTGAATGGGTTTATCTTTACCATAGTGAGCATCCTGCGATCATCAACCACTGTTGTCTTCTGTGGACGTCCATGCCTTTTGCTGAGCTCATCAGTGCGTTCTTTCCTCAGAATGTACCAAACTGTTGATTTGGCCACTCCTAATGTTGCCTAATCCACCTCTGATTGATTTGTTTTGTTTTTGAAGCCTTACAATGGCCTGTTTCACTTGCATGGACAGCTCCTTTTAATGTATGATGTAGGTTTACAGCAATAAATTTAAAATGCAAATACCACACTTAGAATCCACTCCAGACCTTTTACCTGCTTAACTGATAAAGAAATAATGGAGTAGCCCACACCTGGCCATGAAATCGCTTTTGATTCAACTGTCCAATTACTTTTGGTCCCTTGAAAAAGGGGGGATGACTACTCTTAAGAGCTGTAATTCCTAAACCATTCCTCCAATTTGGATGTGTATACCCTAAAATTAAACCTGAGAGTGTGCACTTTAAGCCCATATCCATTATATAACTATAGCTTGAATATGTTTTGGGAAATACCTGAGAAGAACTGGCTGTGTGTGGGGTTGGTTTTTTTTTTTTTTTTCCCACCTCCGTATTCAGGTTTAATTGCAGTGTTGGCACTTTGCGATTAAAAGTGGGTTTTGGGTTGCAGTTTGGGCACTCTGTCTCTAAAAGGCTTGCCATCACTGTTGGGTTATGGTAATAGCAGTAAATATATAAAATTATACAGTTTAACACCAGTTGCAATTGGGTCTGGGCGTTAAGGTGTTTTTTTTACCTTTTTGGTCAGGAAGGGGTTAAGATACAAGCCTAAAGGACTGCGCCTTCAATCGCTAAAGCGAGATTTCTAACTATTATAAAATCACTAAAGCATTTGCATTTTCCAAGGACTGTTTAGATCTGCTTTAAATGTTATCACAAGACTGCTTATTGCATAAATAACTTTCAATTGATTAATATAGACCATGACCTAATAAAGCCCACTACCACTCAAGGGATTTCCTTTACCATTGGTGAAAGCATGTGTTATGGTTTCTGAATTATGTAATTGCTGTTAAACTTGTCATGTAAAGTGATCTACTAGTTTCCAAAATGTTACTTTGTTAACCAGTGTCTTAGGTCTAGCATTTTTTGCATTCCACTAAAGTGGCACATACTGGTATGCTATCTTAAACTACAGTGTAAGGACAGATTTTTACCCTCCATGTGTTTTCATCTGAAGGATAATATAGGTTTATCAAGGGCTTCAAAATTTTGGTAATCTGCAGGTTAGAGATTCTCTTCAAATGGGGAAAGATGCTATATGGAAATGCCTATCTTTTCTGAAAAATAGGAGGCATGGGGCATGATCTCAGTTCCAATAACTGTCATGAACCTTGTACTCTGCATTGACTGTGCAAATTCTTCTTGCATTGTTCTGCAGTAAGCAATAAAACCTCCTGAAGATCAATCGTTAAAAGGCAATATAAGTAAATGGTTCTTTTGGAAAACCTTGATGTTTCAACTTGCAATTCTATCCTATATAGTCAGCTTTTTATTTTGAGGACCATTTTATCTAGACCGAATTCATCTGTCAAAATGGTTGGCTAAAAATGTCTTACTTGCTTAATTGAATTTTATGCAGCCAAGCATTTTCATCTTGGAAATTTAAATGCTGATCTGAAGAGCAACAGAACTGAAACGTGGCGCAAGCTTTTTTTTTTTTTTTTTTTTTTTTTTTTAAGCCACTTTTTTATTTCCAGGCCTTAGTTGTCTTTTAGCAGCTGCTAAATGCTTTCTTAAAGCTACTGCCAGCTCCATCATGAAGATCTCTAGTTTGGCTTTTTTAGACTGAACTTAAATGGTGCTTGTAGAAACCTGTCAGATCTTGTTGAAATGCCACAAACTAGTTTTTTAAACAAAAGCGCTTTCTGGAAGTGTTTGGCCACCGTTCTGCTTTAACCACCTTCGGGCCACCCACCTGCAATGTACTGCAGACAGGCGGCAGCTACAGGACCAGCAACGTACCAGTACGTCGCTGGTCCTTTTTGCCAACACGGGAGGCACTGTATGAATCAATCTGATTCAGAAAAGCTTTGCTCCTGTTCCTGGAGAGTTGATTGGTCCACAGTTCTCACATGGGGCCTATCCTAGCACCCTGTACCATGTGACCAGCTGGATCCAATCAGATCACTATTATATTGAACTGTTATGAACTTGACATATTCGTGACAGTTCAAAGAAAGCTTTGCATTGCAGAGCAATAATCTTCATTGCTCATGCCATGCAAAGTGTGAAGATGAAAATAGAACAGTATCGTATGTTACCATAGTAACATTGCATTACTTTAATGAAAAATCTTTAAAAAAAAAATATTATTTTGTTGCTAGAAAAATTACTTTGAACGTGTGTGTGTGTGTGTGTGTGTGTGTGTGTGTGTGCGTCGTTCCTGTAGGACAGGACTTGGGAGGGGTGGCAGGTCCCTTCCCACTGCTTATAAATGCGATCCAGCAGCTAATTAGCGGCTAGGATTGTTTTTCCATGAAAGCCAATCACCAGCTGAAAATGATACCAGGATGCCTGTAGCTTTAGGCATCATCCCAGTATAGCCACTCAAAGTCCAGCAATGTACCAGTACATTGCTTGTCCATGTTTAACATATATGTAACAGCAGAGAACACAAGCATATGAATCTGGTCTGTGAACCAATTCAGTCTTTGTAATACCCATGTTGAGGGCTAGGCCCAAAAAAGTTCTAAATTTGGAAGCCATGATGGGTTTCCATGCAAATAGTCTGGCAGGAGGTGTGTGTGTGTGTGTGTGTGTGTGTGTTGTGTGTGTGTGTGTGTGTGTGTCTTTTGGCCCACAATCGATTGGTACAAATTGTCTGAAAAACAGCGGTAGGGCTAAACTCTAGTGCTGGCAGCTAATGGGATTGATCTGCCAACACTGCGTTTTTGGGGACACTTTACAAAAGGACACTTAGTATAGTTCTATTTTCACAGATCAATATATTGGTCACAGACGCTATACTAGTAATGGAAGTGACCTAAAGCACAAGTGCAACAGTGTGTGGGCAATCCAATGCTAGCTAGCGAACTCTGACTGGGAGGGAAGCTAACTGACCCTGACACTATCTGATGTCAGTAGGGGCAGTCATACAGTGAAATTCTATAACTGACACTATACTAATGGTGCTGGGTGATCAAAGGGTTAATAGGGGGCGATCAGCGTCAAGTGTGTGTGTGTATAATGTAGTGCAGTGATCCGTCTCTCCATGGACGGCATAGGGGGCAGCGGGGCACGCACATCTGGAAAGATTATGTCGCTTTGCCCAGAACTGCTACTTACCCACACAAGCAAAAACAACCCCCCCCCCCCCCCCCCCCCCCCCCCGCAAAGAAAAAAAAAATGTTTTCTGTTTATCACAAAAAAGAAAATTGGTGATCAAATACCACCAAAAGAGAGCTCTATTTTTCTGTGGGGAAAGACATAAATTTTGTTGAGTACAGCATTGCATGACCACGCAATTACTAGTTGAAATAGCAGTGCCGAATGGCAAAAAATTGCCTGGTCATTAAGGGGGGTAAATCTTCCAGAGGGAAAGTGCTTAATTTTTACTTTGTAGCTTTTGGAAACCATTCCAGATTGTGACTAAAACGGTATATATGCACTTAAACTGTCTGGCCATTTACAAATGCCTCCTGGAGGTTGATCACTCGGTTTACCATTCCTGCCTTTCCAGGGTCAGCTTGCTACTCAGTGAGTAGGCTGAAGGCAGTGATGCAGGAAGCTGAATTCCTGAATTAAGTAAATCCTTGTGATAAGTGATGGTGCTGATGATTATCCCATGTGAGTTATTGTGCTAGGTGAGGACAGCTGCAGCAACATGTGCACAGGTGTGACCCCTATATTACATCAGACGTGTGATGGGAATTACACCAGAAATTTGCTGTTTGTTTGGCCACATTATTTTTATACCAGCCACTTGTCTTCCTGCACCCATTTCAGCTTTCTGGGCCTCCTGCATTTTCATGTAAACAAAGGTTGTCTTACCACATGCATTCTTGTGTATGACATTTCTATAATTCACTGTCGGTAATCTCCTTTCTACAGTATTATCTTGGCATGTATCCTATGGAAACCTAAGGCCCTTACCCTGTGATTTCTACTGGCTCTGCAACAAATACCCTTTCCTTGAACCTTTCCTGAGCTTTTGACTTTACTGCTTGTCCTTTTTTTTGAGTCTTTAAGCATGGATTTTAGTAGCAGGCTTTGTTTGCAATAACCTTGCAAAGTGTTGAAAAGCCGTAAATGTTACACTTTTTTTTTTCTGTATTTAAATATTGCCTGTACAATATACCAAAATGACCTTTTTGTCAGGCTTCAGAACTTTGTATTGGCAGTCTTGGCTCTTAAAATGTCCATAGTGTAGCCATCAGCCTTTTTTGAGGCAATGCAGCAGGTTTTTTCATGTTTTAACAAATCCTGTATAAACAAGTTCCTCACAACATGTTTGTAGTTTTTTGTGTTTTTTTTTTTTAGCTACTTTCACACTGATCTGCTGCAAAAACGCATATGCGTTTCTGTGTTTGCAATGCATTGTCTGTGTTTTATGCATTCCCCCTCCCCCTTACTGCACAAAAAATGCAGCAAGCAGGACTTTGAAAAACACACCAGACCCGCAAAGGATCAGTGTGAATAGTTCCATAGGAATATATGGCCACCTGTTCTACTTAAAGCAAAAATGGATTAGTGTGAAAGCCACCTTATGTGATCATTAACCAATTCAATACCGTGCAATTTTACACCTTCCTTCCCAGTCCATTTTTCACGTTTCAGCGCTCACACACTTTGAATGACAATTGCTCGGTCATACAACATTGTACCCAAACTAAAATTTTATCATTTTCTTCACACAACTAGAACTTTCTTTTGGTGGTATTTAATCACCGCTGGGGTTTTTTTTTTTTTTTTTTGCTGCTAAACTTAACTTTGCAAACTATGGTATAGATCTGAATATTGGTCAATCCTGAAGTACTGACAGCCAATCTAATTTCTTGAGGTCCAAGAATGTCAGAATAGTACAGATATCCCCAAATGACCCCTTTTTACAGAGTAGACAGTCCGACGTACTTCATAAGAGGCATGGTGAGTTTTTTGAAGTTGTGGTTTTTTTTTTTTTTTTTTTTGTTTTTTTTTTTTTCATTTTTCAGAAAATGGAAAAATTGAGAATTATTTTCACTATTTTTTTTTTTTTTACGTACTGTCACCAGTGCAGTACAGAGTCATCATATAACTGGCATGGTGGTGAACAGGGACACTGACTGGTGACAGTATGAAAAAAATATATATTTTTTTATTTTTAATTTTTTTTTTAATTTTTTTTTCCTATTTTACTAGGACCAAAGTAGTACAATGTTACCATAGTAACATTGTACTACTTTGTGGAAGTGATCAGTATATTTTTTTTTTTTTTTTTTTTTTTTTTTTTTTTTTGTGCTTAGCTGTGATTTGGTCACAGCTAATCACATGACATGTGCATGTGATTAGCTGTGACCATTCACTGCTAGGCACTAGTATACAATGGATGGCATGAATGAAGCCATCCATTGTATACAACTGTCATGTGACCTGCTGTGATTGGTCACAGCAGGTCACATGGTACCAGCAACGGGGGCCGGTACTCAGATCTGTCATCGGCCGTGTCCGAGGTACACGGCCGGTGACAGATCGCGCGGCTCTGCATTAACGCAAACTGCGCATGTGCGGGAGCACCCCGGAATGCCGAAGCACTTTTGAAGCCGCCGGGCGGCTAATGGTTAAGCACCTGTGAATTAGTGGGATCATAGTTTGGGCTGAAATACTGAATTTTGTCGTATTTTTGCCCCCTGAATTTTGTCGTATTTTTGCCCCCCCTCAATTTCTAAGCATGGCCTGTATTTAGAAAGGGGTAGAATGCATTTTGGGGGCAGATAAGTAGGGAAGGAGGGAAATAAAGAATGGCGTTTAATGAAATATTTTGGTTGACCGGTTTACTTCATGATGTATAAGCTATTAACCGTTAAAATGCTTTTCTTTCTTCCAGAGCATCGATGGATATTCGTGACAGAATAGGACACCATATGAAGGTTGTAGAAGGCCTGCACACTCCTACAGCCATTGCTGTTGACTGGATCTACAAGAATATTTATTGGGCAGATGTTGGTTTGAAGACCATCTCCGTGTCAAATTTCAGTGGGTCTAAAAGGAGGGTCTTATTCAGCACACAGTTGAATGATCCATCATCCATAGCTATTGATCCTATATCTGGGTAATTTTTGTCCTTTTTGTAATTTAATGAATAAATAAGGCTTGGCAAGGCATATGTCCCTTTGCTTTTGTTTACAAAGGGGAAAAAAAAAACAAACAAGACAAATCGCATGGTTATGCTCTAAAGGGGCATTGTGGACAGCTTTAGTAAATAAACCCCAGACTCCCTTCTGCATAGAAACCAATCAGCTTCTAACCTCAGCTTGTTCAATGAAGCTTTGGCAATGAAACCTGGAAGCAGATTGGTTTCTATGCAGAAGGGAGTCTGATTTTGGACACTCCAGCTTTAGTAAATAAACCCCTTTTGCCTCATTGGATTGTAGTAACATTCAAGACAGGTAAGGTTTCTGCAGTCTGGATTAGAATTGTCTAATTGGTTCACTGCTATCTCTGGTCTGTGGGTCCCTTTAATGAAAAGTCCCAAGCTGGAGAGAGTCCTTAATCTGCAATAGTCTGGGAAAAGTATAGTCTCCTAATTGCTTTTAGATATGCTCAAAGAAACCTCACATAACCCCTCCCAGGGTATTTCTTGGGTCATTGACAAAGTTGGTAATCCTGTCCCATTACCCACACTTACCTGCTGCTCTAACTCTTAGATTGTAAGTTTGATTAGGCATGTACATTTTATGTGTTTTTTGCAGTTCATGTGTAGTCTTACCCTACATTCACACTGAGCTGAGTGTGTGTTTGGCCAGGTGTTTGAGTTGTGTGGTTTGTTTCCTTTCCTCCCTTTTTTTTTTTTTTTTTTTTTTTTTTTTTTTTTTTTTTGTAGGTGCGGTTTTTGAGTTGAAAAAAAGCTTCTTTCCACTGTTCTGAGCATTTTGTCCCCATAGACGTGAATGGAAAACACCTGGTCTGTGTAAAAAGTAGTGAAAGTACATTTTTGAGCTGCAGGCATTTTTACAGGCAACGGGACGCTCAAGTGTGAACAGGGGCCATTAGAAATAATGGGATTTTACTTAAGCATGTTTCAGCTCGAAGCTCACAGTCAAGTGTGAACAGAGTCTTTTAGGCATTTTGGTTTCCATTACGGAGGGATAGTGAACACTAGGACACAGTAGTGGCTTTACTTTTTATCCAGGCTGACTTGTTGCTTGGACTTTTCAATTTCAGATTTATCTACTGGTCAGACTGGGGAGAAGCTGCCAGAATTGAAAAGGCCGGAATGAATGGAATAGACCGTCAGTCACTGGTTACAACTGATATCCAGCGCCCAAGTGGAATTGTTTTGGGTAAGCTATTTTGTAAAGGTTTTCTGCAAATTGTAACTTGGACAAAGCTCCCTAGTTTTAGATTAAGAGAATAGGAACCTCTGTGCCTAGCTTCAGACACAGATATTCAGTCCAGTCTTGTTGAATGTTTCTGCTGCAGTGCTTTGAGCTCAGAGTGCCCTGACATCTGAACAAGAGGGAGCTTTGTGGCTGTTGGGTCTCATGGTGGCCTTCTTTGAAACTGGGCGTATAGCACCTCACTTTGACCATTGTACCATACTGCCAGAATGCTGTGTTGCAAACAGACTTTTTCCTTGAACCCCCCTATAAGTCTGAACTGCAAAGAGCTCTCTGGAGTTGGAAGCATTTTTCCTCCAATCTTCTTTTTTTTTTTTTTTTTTTTTTTTTTTTTTTTTTTTTTTTTTTTTTTTTTTTTTTTTAATTTTGAGCAGGACCTTATTCTGACCCTGTCGGCCAGTAGCTCTATCCTGTAAGGAGCATTTCTTGGTGTTGGACAAGGTCTCCCAAATATAGACTCTACCTTCCACCTTAGGATTGTCTTCCTTGCTCTGGCTTCAAAATCTTCCAGGGAAATTTTCTCTTGCTGTGGAGCGAGCTTAGTTACTTCTCAGCTACAGCTGCTTATAGGAATGTGAATTCTTGGTTCCAACAAGGGTCTTACTACCTCACTTCACCATTTGCCAATAGAATCAGACAAGTTTTTAGAGCATGTTGTATGAAGGATAGGTTTCTTCCGTGTTCAAGGACACTCTACTAGATATACTAGATATGTTAGTGCTTCATAGGCCTTTCAGCAACTGGCTTTCTCAGATTTGCAAGTCTGCCACCTTTTTTGCTTCTGTCAACACAAAGTTCTAACTGCTAGATGTTCATTCCTTATCTGATGCCAGTTTTGGCCATAAGATGCTACAAGCTGCTTGGTCTAAGCCTTATTTGTTTTGTTTTTTTTTTATTGGGATTTTCTGGCCTTTTAACTAGTTGCCGACCGCAGATAGCTGAATGACGGCTGCACTGCGGCCGGCCAGTTCTCAGTGGACGTCATAGGACTGCCTCCCAGAACGCGCTCTCCTGCGCGCCCCAGGGGCGCGCACCTGGCGATCTCCGTGATAGCTGTGTCCTACGGACACAGCTGATCACGTGATGTGGTAAAAGGCCTTTTACCACGTGATCAGCGGTGTCCAATGACACGTTGATCAGAGGGAAATGAAAGTGCCGGTTCTCGGCTGCACTTTCCTCACGCTGTCAGATCGTGAGGAAAGTACTGCTGAGAACCGGCAGTTGTCAGAGCGGGGATCTGCACCGATCATCAGTGCCCTGATGATCGATGCCCAGCAGTGCCACCCGCAAGTTCCGCCCACCTGTGCCCAGCAGTGCGCCCACTAGCTCCACCCACCTGTGCCCAGCAGTGCAGCCACCTGTGCCACTCTGCAGGGTCACACACCTGTGCCCAGAAGTGCCACCCACCTGTGCCCGCCCAGCAGTGCCGCCAGTCAGTGCCGCCAGTCAGTGCCCAGTGCAGCAGTGATGCCAGTCAGTGCCGTCTATCAGTACCCATCATCAGTGTCACCTATCAGTGCTGCATATTAGTGCCGCCTATCCGTGACACCTCATTAGTGCTGTCTCAGTGCCGCCTATCCGTGCCACCTCATTAGTACTGCCTATCAGTGCCCTTTAGTGCTGCCCATCAGTGCCGCCTATCAGTGCCCATCAGTGCTGCCTCATCAACGTACATCAGTGAAGGAGAAAAAATACCTGTTTGAAAAATTTTATAATAGAAACTTTTTTTTTTTTTTTCAAATTTTTTGCACTTTTTTTTATTTATAGCGCAAAAAGTAAAGCGCCCAGCGGCGATTAAATACCACCAAAAGAAAGCTCTATTTGTGAGAAAAAAATGATCAAAATTTCATATGGGTACAATGTTGCATGACCGCGCAATTGTCAAAGTGCGGCAGCGCTGAAAGCTGAAAATTGGCCTGGTAAATAAGGGGGTATAAGTGCCTGGTAGGCAAATTGACACTGTGTGTGTGTGTGTGTGTGTGTGTGTGTGTGTGTGTGTGTACATGGCAGTGTAACCTTTTTATTCCACATTATCAACAAGTATACAAGTGCTATCGTAAATTATATACATAGTCTGGCTGAAAAAGACAAATGTCCATCCTGTTCAACCATGAAAAAAAAAAATTAGAATCCTATACCCACAGTTGATCAGAGGAAGGCAAAAAAACCCAGCAAAGCATGATCCAATTTGCTCCTGCAGGGAAAAAAATTCCATCCTGATCACCTAAGAGGCAGTCGGTATGTCTGAGAAATTATGGTTGGGGCTCCAGAACTGTACAGGGCATACTTGCCCTGTGTCACATAACCTTGCAAACAAAAGAGAAACCGCCTCATCTCAGTATGCAAGCCTCTCCTCTAGTTGATTCAGTATGGGGCCTCTTGCCATTGTTTGCTGTGGTGTTTACCTCTTGGTAGGACTGCTTTTTTGTAAATTATACTATAGTCCTGTCATATAAAATTGAAAGTTGGATTTTGGTGTGTGCCTGGAGAATTAAAAACTGTTCTTACCAATAGCATAGTAAAATGATATTCCTTTTTGGCTCTCATATCTTCTTCTTCTTTACTTCTGTAGATTTGGTGAAAAGCCGTCTCTATTGGCTTGATTTGAAGCTGCACCAGCTCTGCAGCGTGGATCTAAATGGCCAGAACCGCCGGATTATCTTGAAATCACATGAATTTCTGGCTTATCCTCTTGCCCTTACAATTTTTGAGGTATTTAATCTTTCATGTAGTTGATTTGGCTGTTTTATTCATCACTTAAGATAGCATATGTATAGAAAAAACTTTTATCCATTTTGGATAGAGTAGGGAAGAGTTTAAAATGTGTGGGTTTTTTTTTTTTTTTGGTTTTTTGTTTTTGAAACGGGGGAATAAAACCCCTGTCTGGCACAAACGCAGGGGGACTCTAAGTCCTAGATGGCCATAAAAACCCAAGTTTCAGGATATGGCCAGTAAGAATCTTCAGTAGTCAGGCAAAACTGAGGGCTGCTATCCTACTAAATAAAACAATTCTTTAATGCAAAGAGATTTGCCATTGTTAAAAATGTAAGTAAATTCACAACTTTATACCGGGTTTAAAAAAAAAAAAAAAAAAAAAAAAAAAAAAAAATTGTGCTGTTTGGGCAATTCCTTCCTGTCCTGACAACAATGATGTGCTTCCTACTCAATGCAGAAAAAGCTAAAGAAGCCCTGGATAGCAGAAAAACAGACTTGTTATCTAACCTTCCCTACTCTTTCTAGAGCAGAGGTTGGAACCCATCTGGTTTTACTTCTATCTAACGCTTTTTTTTTTTTTTTTTTTTTTTTTTTTTTTTTTTTTTTTAGATTATATTTTTGTGGAGCAGGGGTGTCAGACTTTCATCGTGGGCTGCATCAGTATTATGGTTGCCCCCCAAGGGCCAGTTGTATCTGTAAAACTATAAATGTATCCACTTATCATATGAAATTATTGCATCTCCATTCAATGATTACGGGTTTAAGACTTGAGCTGTGAAGTGCAGGTGCCGATTGGCATGGAGCCCACTCACTCCTGTAGAAGATGTCTGATTTTGAAGTCTGAAAAAGGTCTCACACTGCTGGTATCCACAAGAAGCTTTATTAGACTGCTCAGACAGAACATGGTGGTTCCATTCTGCCAGTGCAGTCTCCAATAAACGTTTTTTTTTTTTTTTTTTTTTTTTTTTCTGATATAGAAGTGTATTAGTCTCATAAGCAGTTGTCCAGAACACCCCACCCCTCTACATCAGATGTCTAGAGTTCCCCGCCCTTCTTTACATAAGTGCACCCCCCTTACCTTGTGCTGCTGCCAGGTAGAAGCTGGGGGCAGAATTGGGAAGCAGTGTATTGTCTGGAGGAGGACCAGAGGCGTGCTGGAGACAGTGCCTGGTCTCAGCATTCAGCAGACTAGCAGCGAAGGGGGTGCTGGGGCTACAGAAAGTTGCAGGATCTGTATGAGGCGTTCTTTCTCTCTGCTGGCAACTGAGGCATTGTGAAGGACAGACTAGGTTGATGTTGTAGCTGTATGAAAGGTGTGAACTACATGAAATGGCCTGACTCTGTTGCAAAAGTGCAGGGTCCTCAGACAGGTTCCTGGTTTGTCTTCCTGGTTTGTTCATTTGTTTTGTCCAGTTAGCAATAGTCTGGCAAATGGGCATGACGGCAATATCTGCCTTTACCAGTCCTGCCCTACATCCAAAAAACAACCTTTTCAAGATTTCTAGTGAAAAATACAGTTTCAAAATCGAATGGGTTAATCTGCCCCATACTGGACTTGAAATTTCTAAACAGATTGCATGTACCAAAATTCCAGATGTAGTCAGAATCTGTCATTGCTTCTTTAAGATGTGGGGGATTCCTGGCATGAGTAGACTCCCTATCTACATATCCCCTCTTCCTCATATCAGCATTGTCTACATTTTTTCTGTGGAAAATACAATTTTTCTGGATAAAATGCTTCCAATTTGTAGCACCAGCACTTGGGCTATCCTCTGCACCCTAGAGTGTTCACAAAAGTGGTGACACACTTCTGTGAAATCAATGCTATGGGTTTGCAAAAGAGCCTGGTTACCTAGACAGCCACTTGCTGAGGACTCTGCAGCCAGCACCTTGGCTGTCAACATTCATAGGATGATTTAGTTCCTTCAAATCTTTGGCTGGATAAACAACCTTACAAAGTCTGCCCTCCAGCCCTCACACTGTCTGGAGTACTTGGATCTAATCCTGAACACTGCCCGAGCCAGAATTTTCTGTCCCCAGGAGAATGTTTCTTCCCTAAGGTCTCACATGAGGACCATTGAATCAATACTGCAGTCCTCAGCCCATGTCTGCATGAGGGTTTGCAGCTTGATCGTATCCTTTCCTTTTAAAGCGGTTCCCTTTGACAGTTTTTTTTCTCTCCAGACCTCTTCAAGCATCCTCAACTGGGAAGCCAAAATGTCCCATCAATTTTTTTGGAACATGGAGATCTGATGGCTCTTTAACACTAAATCTCCCTTCTATAAGGTCACACAGGATACGTTCTGGCAGTGTCTTACACAAACCATAGAAGCACCAGAAGCTGCCATAAACAATGGTCTACAGTCCTGGGCAAAACCCCACATTCCAGCTCTTGGCCAGTCACATCCCTGGACTGGACAATTGGCAAGCCATCACACTTAGACCTGAGGAAGTGGTCTCTGCACCCAGGGATCTTTTCAAGATCTGTCAAGGGTTGGGGAAAACCAGACGTGGATATCTTGGCCTCCAGATTCAGCAAGCTGAACAAATGTGTAGCAAAGACTAGTAATCTTTTAGCTTTCGTAGTAGATACTCTAGTTCTTCCATGAACTCTATTCAAGCTGGTTTATGCTCTCCCTTCAGTGAAGAGCCATTTCTTCCTAGACTGCTGTACAAAATGGAGAAAGGGTTATGGTGACTCGTACTAAATTGGTACAGACCTAATTAGACTTCTGATTAGTCTATTTGGCAGATGCCAAGGCTAGACTTGCTGTTCCAAGGCCCTTCTGAAGGATAGAGGCATTTCTTGCTTGTTCCCATGACCTGCAAGACCATACCTGATACGCAGACAGAGTCCCAGAGAATACTTGTATTTTGGCTTTTTAGTCTGCTTTGGACCAGAGTCTGCCCCATAGTACCACTTAGTACCACTAACACAAGTCTCTGCCTTCTCTTCAAGAGACCTCTTGCCTTAATCTCTAAATCAAACGTTTTTTTGGAGAGTTGCTTCTATAATCCCTAATTTGAGCACCCTTGTTCTCACCTGTGAGTTACCATGGGATCTCAGCCAGGTGCTCTGTATTGGAGACCCCTCCCCCTTGAACAGATTGGAGACTGTTGTAAGACCTTATTTTGCCTGGTTGCCTTCCTCATGGCCAATTAAATCTGTTCAAAGAAGGTCAACGCAAACAAGCTCAGACGTAAAGAGCCTTTTTCTTTTGCACAAGTACAAAGTGATTTGAGGGCAAAACCTTCTTTTGTAAGGTGGTTTGTGTTTGTTTGTTTTCCCCACTTTTATTTTTACTTCCCTTTTTTTGACCTGCTGCAAACTGACAAGAAAATGCCCCTTAATTTTGCCTGGATGTGGTCAGTACTCAGTCTTGCAAAGAAGCTGTTGCTAGGCATTTCCTGAGTCTTTTCTACTTGGGCCCTTGTAGAGGCCTTCCTGCTTTCTGCTCCATCGAGTGGATTAGGCAACTCCTTCCCAGTGCATACACCTTTTGGGTGAGGATCCCCTACTTGGAGATCCCATTCCAACAGGACTGTTGGTGTCTCTTGGGATTTTCATCATAAAGTAGTGTGTTTTCAAGGCTGCCTCCCGGCCCACTGTTTTCTACCAGGTGAAAGTTCAGGCTTTGGCTGGTGTGGACTTCAGCTACAAAGTGCTTCAAGGTGTCATCTTGGTGTCTTTGGGTTTCTCAACTTTTTTCTTTTTGGGCTGTTGGCAGTTCTGTTATGCAATAAAAAGGGAGGGGGGGGGGGGGGTTTTTGGCAACATAAGTATATCCCATGGTCAGATTCCTGTGTACTGTATAATTGTAAAGGTAACAGGAATTTTGACATGCTAATACATTTCTTCTCTGGGTTCAGGACTCCTGCCTTGATAACTACTTATTGTATACTAAGTCTCTAATGCAGTGCACTGGATTAGGAGTTTGCACATATGCTTTAGGGGTGGTCCTAGCAAGTTTTTGGTTAGTAGCCTGCATACCTATGGTCTATGACTAAGTCCATATTGTAGAGCACAGTATGGGAATCTACAAAATTTCTAAAATCTAGGTGCGTCTTATGGAGCGAAAAATATAGTAGAGTGAAAATGAGAAAAATCTTCTGAACTAATGGACTGCGGACGTGGTACAGGAGATGACCAGAGGCTGCGGACCTTTTGAGGAGCGGGGGGGGAGGGGGGGGTCTGGTACCCTAATTTGACAGGTACCCGTTCCCACTTCCGTGGCATTGTCGTCCTCGTAGTCTTATGGGACACGTGACAGGTCCCAGAAGACTACAGGTGGCTATTCACAAAGCACAGCGCTTCTCGCGCGCATGCGCAGTGGGCACCCGGCTGTGGAGCCGCAAGCTGTCACAGCCAGGTACCCACACTGAAGATGCTGGCGCCAGGAAGAGAAGACAGCCAGTGAAAGCAGGACACCACTGGACCAAGGAGCACGTTCTTCTGCACAGTAGAACAGAGTGGCTGGCCCGGTTTTGAAGGGTCTATAATTTTTATCATAGGTGTATTTTAAATGATCTACAGAATATCAACCAAAAATCCAGGAAAAACACATGATATACATTTAGTTGCAGTTCTATGTAAAACATTTGTAAGTATTTGATCCCCAAGTAAAACATGACTTTGTACTTGAAGAAACCCTTGTTGGCAAGCAGACATTTCTTGTAGTTACCAGGTTTGCACATCTCAGGAGGGATTTTGGTCCATTCTTTAGAGCTCTTTTCGAAGTCCTTAAGATTTCTTGACTGATGTTCGCAACTCCGAGTTTAAACTCCCTCCATAAATTTTCTATAGGATTAAGGTCTGGAGGCTAGCTAGACTACTCGAGGACCTTAATGTGCTTCTTCTTGAGCTACCTCTTTGTTGCCTTGGCAGTATTTTGGGTCATTGTCATGCTGGAAGTCCCATCCAAGACTCCTCTTCAGTGTTCTGGCTGAGGGAAAGAAGGTTCTCGTCCAAAATTTTACAATACATTGGCCCCTTAATGCAGTAAAGTTGGCCTGTGTAGAGT